ACCAATAACCCTAACTGTCCCTAACTACTATTCACGTGACCACGCACTGTCCCTAAGAACTGTCCATAGATTTTCCGCCGTTTATCACCCTAGTATAAAATGCTCTTTTTGTATACATAACACGTGTTAGATATTTCATATAAACGTCGCCATTTTTATTGCTAGTATTATTTCAAACCCTTTCCATGCTCTTTGCTCGCTATAGTGACAACGTTAATTTCTATCAACGTAATTTTATTAACAGCATTTACTAGCATACCTTATTTAAGAGCATAATGATTATGAGAAATATTTATTTATTGTCATTATTATTATTTATCTCCACATTAAAAAATCATTCTATGATTCATGCACGAGAACCGTTAGCAGAATTTTGGCGTGTAAATGAGACAGAAGTACCCAAGTTTTTAAGTAATGAAGCAACATTATCAGTGGTGGATCAAATCTTACAAGAAGAAATACTAAATAAGCATGATTCAATTTTCGGAGGATCTGTTATAAATGCAAAAGCAAATCAAATTTATGTCTATACGATAGATACCAATAAGGCCAATGTTATTATAAGCAATTCAAAAGAAATTGATCCATACAGGGATTTATTGATAGTTTTAAATGTACGCAATTCCTTTTCTCTATCAAAAGGAAATTTTGATAAAATAGTGACGCAAGCACGAACAAAAAAATATTTCTTACAAGGCGTAACAATTTACATTGATATTTTGAGAAATAATGTAGTTGTATATTTGGGATCTACTGAAAGAAAAGAATATGAAAAATTTGTAAAGGCTATCAGTAAATTTAACCCAATTATAGAATACCCGGACCGACCTCCACTTTATAAAAAACCTCGTAAGATAAATGATAATGAACCCTTAAATGAGGAGATTATTTTTCATGATAGGGCTAATCATTATTCAGCAAATTTTAAGGCAAGAGGAGCAAGTAATGATTACTTGTATCCACATGATGGTAAACATAATATACAATCTCGTAACTTAGATATTGTATTCTTTAATGGAGATAGGATTTACAATTCTCGTGGGGGCTGTACGGTGGGTTTTAGGGCAAGAAATGCAACCGTAGATTATTTAGTAACCGCGGGGCATTTTATTTTTTTAACCGGTCATCTTAAAAGTTATTATATGAATGTAATATTTGATAGAGAAGTTAAGCAGGTTCATGTTGGTACTGCAGCACAATATAAAATGAATTCTGAACATGGTTTAATCAAAATACGGCATCAAGAGATCAAGCACTCGGCGAATATAATACATCGTGAATCTATTGATCCAAATAATCCTAGATCAGACAAGAGAGTTGTTAAAGAACTATTCGTTGCAGGCCATAAAGATTTGCGGAGTTATGGAGTTCATATATGTAAAGCTGGCTACGTCACAGGAACTCTCTGTGGGGAAATTATAGCGTTAAATGGTATTCAGATTGGTGTTATTAATGGCGAACTTCAATTTTCACCGAATTTATACGTTGCAAAATCTAATATTCAAGATTTTAACTTGCCAGGTGATAGTGGAGGTCCTGGATTTTCTTATATAAGAGATTTGAAGTGGGTAAGTTTAAACAGTATAACCGTTGCAAGGAAACCATTTATGGCCGCACTTCAACCATTAGGCTTAATTTTGGATGATACTGCATTAAATATTGTAAAAACTGGTGACAATTTGTAATATAATAAGGTAGCACAAAATCAGGAACAGAATATAGTCATACCTGAGTAATATCTCCACTGGGTTATATACTTGTTATATCCCCATATTTAGCAGCATAAATTTTCTATACGGCCGAACCTCTCTATAGTCACCCCCAGGGTTGTTATTGGACTGGTCCAATAATTAATTTTATATTCAATAATTAATTTTATATTAGACTTGGACTGGACCAAATTTATTGGTCCAATTTAGTCCAATTGGTCCAGTCCAATATATTGTTACAAATTTATTTTTTTACTTATCGTCTAATTGTTGTTATACAATACCAAGCAAATACTCAGGTTAAAA